GTGTTGGGCTACTAACTCAAAGATAGACAGTTCAAATCCCTGGCTACTCCACAGGAGACGGATGAGAGAAATTAAGATTCACAGTCTCTGTAACCCTATTTCAGCCACTGTGAATGGGAATCCAGTCAATTGAAGTTGGCGGGAAGGGGTCTAAAGTCTTAAAAAGCAAAGATGTTATTTTGAGGAATAAAGTGCACCCGACCTAAGGCACAATATTTTCAGGTGCCTGATATGGATGTGAAAGCTAGACAGTGAATAAAGAAGACCAAAGAGGAATCCATGCCTTTGAGTTGCAGTGTTTGTGAGGAATGTTGAAGTTACTATAGACTGACAGAAGAATAAACAAATCTGCTTTGCAAGACGTACAATTAGAAGTAAGGATGGTGAGACTTTTTCTCACATGCGTTGTACATGGTATCATTCCCGGGAGAAGGACATTATACTTGGGAAAGCAGAGGGTTAGCAAAAAAGAGGAAGAGCCCCAACAAGATGGATTGACACAGTGGCTCCCAACAGTTTGGGCTTTCTTGAAGACTCAAATTGTATTCCTTTATATCTGAGAACAAAACCCCAAAATCGAACCCATTGCCCTCGAGTCAATTCTGACTCACAGCAAACTCCTGTGGATTTCTGAGTCTGTAACTATTTCTGCGAGTAGAAAGCCTAGTCTTTCTCCCGAGGGGCTGCTGGCGGTTTTGAACTTCCAACTACGCAGATCGTAGTTCAATGTGTAACTTTTGAGAACAAAAAAGAAGCCTGTAAGAGCAGGATTAAGGCTATAGGGTGGATGGGATAAAGTTGCCTAATAAAATTCTCATAGGACAGCCCGGATACCCTCAAAGAACACTCAGACTCATTGTTGTGATTTAAACACACACACACACACACATACACATATCTCTGTGCAGCTTCTTTGGACTTTTTCTCAGCAATTCAGTTTTCAATTTACTTAAAATTTCTTCATAATAAGTCCCCATGATCACCCTTTGCTCTTAAATACCTTCTATCAAAATTATCCCATAGAAATCTTAGAAAGCCATCCCATAACCTTTTAGGGTGCCATGTTTGCCTTGAATTTAACTGGGCCAACAAAGCCTCTGGTAAGCCACTACGTTGACTGGAAATGTTCATTGGTCTCTGCCAAGAAATTTGGAAGAAAGCTGCTGATCCATATTATGCCCATTCCAAGAAGAAATGATTCAATAGAATACAGAAATTATTAACCTATATCATTATTATTATTTTTAAGAAAAATTATGCTGAAGATAATTCAAAAACATTGACAAAAACTACCAGGACATTTAATCCAAATTCAGAAGATGATGTCAAGTACGGGATATTATTGCTGATGTCAGATGGTCTTGGCAGAAAGCAGAAAGTGCCAGAAAGGTGTTGATCCATATTTCATTGACTACACAATTTCCTTGGTTCTGTGTCCCTTTTAGGATGATGAGTTTTTCTGCTTGGGCTTAGAGATAGCTAGGGGGCCTTTGGTTTGTATCCCTGGGTCCTGTTAGGACAAGGTTTTTGCTTAATTCATTCTTACTGCTTCTGGACAACAGGGATTAATGCCCTGATCAAATGACTTGCAAAGTTGAGCAAAACATTGCTTTAGGAAAGGGAAGAGTAGACAAGTGGTGCTATCAACTGGAAAGACCAAATCGTTCACAGGCTTTCTAGAGAATGCTCTAGAGCACAGGACCCCAAGTTTAATTGGTCTACTGTACCTTTTCCCAGGAAAAGAACACTACGCACACTTCTAATTGCTTCTCTGGCATTTGAAACTTTTGTATTGTGGCCCGAATCCAGAAAAAGGTTTAGCTATTGCTTTTGCAGCCCACACCTGTTCATTCTAGCACCCCCACCCTAGGGGGCAGTATCACCCACTCTGAGAAACCCTACTCTAGAGAATGGGTTCTGTCTGTTGCTGAAGAGTCTGGTATAAGCTCATTGAGGAGAAAAATCCAGGACATGCCAAGGAGAGGTTTCTTGCAAAAGTATTCAAGGGCTGCGTCCCAGAGTGCCGATATGCCCATTTTATAAATCATATTTGAAGGAAAGAGAATTAGGAGTGGTCTCGTTCAGAAAGCAACCCAATTCAAAAAGACTCAGTGATGGCAGGAATGTCCTTATTGAGAAGATAAATTTGACTTCTTTCTTACTATGTGATTCAGAACAATATCAGTCAAACTAGTGAATTCTGAGACCCCCTGAGAGGTAAGTGAGATTAATTTGGGAGTCAAATGAAAAATAAATGCATTCTTTCTTGGGAACGAAAAAATTCAAGTGTCAAACTTGGTAATATTTTGGAAAGCCCTTGACCATATAGGCTACCTTGTAGATTTTGAAGTAGTTAGTCATGTGTGGAACTTCTTTCAATTTACTTAGAAAAACCCATGTCTCTGATTACTGCTTTCATCAATCTCCTGTTCTTAAATCTCTTAAGAATTCTCAGTTTTTATCTTTCTCTTCATTAGGTGAAATGCTAAGAAATTAGCTCATTATTTTCTATGCACTCATACTATATAGCCAATTCTATTTATAATTGTTAATTTATACTCAATAGCTTCTATCTGATAAACTACATATGAGCTTTCAGCTAATTTAAAAGCAGCCCTTACCTTAACACATCCAACCAGGGACAAAGAGATACTAATTTAAAATTGCTCCT